GAGGAAGCTCAGCTTAAAGACACGTCCCAGGGGCGTTCAAAAGGCGTTTCTGGTCCCCACCTGTCGCTTTGCTCCTCAGCATGGCTGCCTAAAAACACTGCAGGATTCCTCAAACATGATGAGTTAGCACAAGGCTTTGGGCATGTTTTTTATGAGAGTATGACATTATAACATGATATAAAACTCAAAAAAGTTGATTTTACACGATATTGCCCCTTTAAGATGGCATGCCACACCTGGCCCGACTGTGGTTTGTTTTATGTGGTGCTGGCCCAGGCATGGACCACCTCTGGAAAAGCACACRCACCAAARGGCCATCATTCYTTGCAGTATCTGGGTTGAGTGTYCGAGTGTTAGTGCCTTGTGTCAGCCAGAACTGGGCCAGCCAGGCTTTGCCATGTGTGTGGTGTAATATCAGAAAAACACTCATCTCAAAAACTACAAACATTCAGTATTYAAATCCCTCCGCGACGGCAAACRTTGGCGTACCACTTGTTACMCCAGAGAAACATAAAGGTTATTCATTTGCCCACTCTCCCATACCTCTGAATGATCAGAGTCCTAATTAATAATAAAGCCACAGTGAGCTGGAACCAGTAAATGGAGAGTGGCCAGGCATAAAATCGCTGTTCTGTCCTGTGAACGTGCTGCCATCTCTCTCATATGTTCAAGTTTGGTCTTAATTTCATCRTCTGATTGTGTTTTTAGYGTAGGAACTGAGGCTGTTTATGCTCTCGTTTGTTGTGGTTGTTTGTCTTTTCTTTGTTGTTGTTTTCGTTTATTTTGTTGCTGTGTCTTGCAGAACTGGGCCGGGATGCGTTGTCCGTACAAGCTGCTCCGCATGATCCTGGCGCTGGTTTGCAGTAAGTTCTTTTTGTTTGTTCTCAGAGCACGCTGCCGCCCTTTCATGATGTTAAATTTTGTGGGTTTTTTTTTTTAAAGAGCAAACATGAGCACAAATATGAATCTGAACCGGGAGCAACAGACATTGTTAATAGCTCGTAGCGAGAGTTGTCCTGATTGGACATTCTTCTTTGTTTTCAAAGTGTTTCGGTCGTACTACTTGTCCCCTTTTCTCCACACGAGGGCCAGTGAACGGCGACTGTCATTAGTGAACAATATGTTCCCTCCATCTGTCCGGAACCTGCCACCCCCAAAACTCTGCTGGAACGTTAAGAGTTCTCTTCACTGTTTCACAAACAGATTATCCAAATGAAACATGGCATTTTATTCATGTGAGGCACCATGGAAACTGAATTATCATATCATTCACTCTTGGTTTTTATGGTGTCTRTGCAGAGTGTTTGTTCAGCCAAAAGGGACTCGTGGAAACGCGACAGCAGATAAATCACATTTGATGGCACTTTTCTAGAATTRRAATCCACTCAGATCCTCCTGCGATTGTTCTTAGCTTGCCAAGGGAAACTTCGATCTTCACTTTAAAACACTTCGTTGCCTATAGATCATCTCGGGATAATGACAACAGCTCAGTCTTTGGACTTGGACTAGGTTATAGATTGGTTTGTTTTCTCAGATGTGATCTAAATTTTTCTAATTTAAAGGACAAACTGTGAGATCAAACATGAAAAAGTAGTCTTGATCTGGATCTGAAAACGTTTACTCCAGTAGTTCCACAGATATTTTTATATGCAGTTCTAGAAGGTCCACGCTCAACAAAAACAAAACACTCGTCCGAATCTGCTGGAAGCTTATCCGTCTACTTCACTCAAAAATATATATTTTATTAAAAAAACTTTATTTAACCAGGCAAATTCTATTGAGATCGCAGATCTTTTTTGCAAGGGAAGAGGCAACCTGACATAGAAAACCGGAGTACCTGGAGAAAACCAAAAAAAGCACAAGGACGTGTAAACTCCACAAAGAAGGACCCCAGGTCTGAACCGAGACTTTCTTGCTGTGAGGCATCAGTGCTAACCACTGAGCCATCACGCTGCCCAAATATGAATGTAAATATATGCCAAAACATTCAAATTATCTGATTTCTTCTTCCCAAACTCTTAGATGGACGTCTCCACCATTGATCTAATTTATGGTCACTTCAGCTTAATCCTTAGGTAAATATGGTAGCTGCAGATGTTCACACATTTTGTTAGCAAACTTTTAATTTGAGAACACACTAACCATTATTATGAGAAAAAAGTGAAGATTTTTCATTTTTTTACTTTATTGTTTTTTTTTTTTTCAACCAATTTTCATTTCATTACAATGCGTACCTGTAAGCATGAACATTATAACTTTAGTGGCTAAGAGTCTGGACATCTAAGAAATAATTTTAATCAGTTAACAATAATGTATATAAGTAAAAGTAATTATCTCTTTATACTAATAAACTGACTGGTTATAACTACTGTTCTTGTCTTTAACTTAAAATTAATGTAGTGTTAAATGCAGGGGGAAAAACTAAGATAAATGAAGAAAGTAAACAAGATTATTTTAGTCTGATAACATCTGAATCGATGCACTTTATAGACATACATTCATCCATCCATCCATTTTCTTCCGCCTATCCGGGGT